ACTGACTTACACAGGCAAATTGCATGCAATCTGCTTGTGCATGAGCATTATGCCTGTGCACCTCAAAAAGTGGAAAAATCAAGAATGAAGAGGTAAAACCTTATGAACCTCCCGCACCATTCCCTCAAAGATTAATGAAGCCCATGGAAGACCCAAACTTCAAGAAATTTGTGAATCTCTTCAAGCAACTTCATATCAACATACCATTGGCGGAGGCACTTGAACAGATGCCTACATATGCTAAATTCTTAAAGGAGTTGCTAACAAAGAAGCGCAAATGGGCTGATCTAGAGAAGGTAACCCTTACTTTTGAATGTAGTGCTATGATTCAGAATAAATTACCAAAAAAGAGGGATGATCCGGGCAGCTTCACCATTCCATATGTCATTGGAGGTAGAGAGTTCGATAAATCACTTTGTGATCTTGGAGCAGGAATTAATTTGATGCCATACTCAGTCTACAAGAAATTGGGATTGGGAGATGTTCTTATGCCTACTCGGATCACACTCCAATTGGTTGATCGATCAGTGAAAATTCCAAAGGGAGTGGTGGAGAATGTATTGGTGAAGGTGGGGAAGTTTATTCTCCCAACAAATTTTTTAATTCTGGAGATGGAAGAAGATCAGAGAGTGCCTCTAATTCTCGGCAGAACTTTTCTAGCAACTGGTGATGCACTCATCGATGTTGGGAGAGGCAAGATGACATTCCGAGTAGGTAAGGAGGAGGAAATTTTTAATGTCTTTCAAGTTGATCATAATCACGATGCATTTGATGACATTGAAAGTGGAGCTCGAGAAAGAAAAAATTCATCTTCCTGTGATAGTGGACCACCTGAAGGACGATCACATATCCTATCTACTCAGATTCTGAAATCAAAGCAGGGACAGAAAACCTTGCCAGATCATCTCAAGTATAGATATTTGCGTAAGGATTTCAATCTTCATGTTATTATTCCTTCTTCACTGACATTGGAACAGGAAGTATACTTGGTTGAGGCACTGCAATGCCACATGTGCCTCACTAAGGGGTCCAACATGCAAGCTAAGAAGGTCATACCAAATTTTCGCACACCTGGCCCTGCAGAGGTGACTCATATGTTGGATGGAGGTTATGCATTCTATCATTGCTCGGGAGGGTATTCTGGATACCTTTCCATACCCATTGGTTGAAAGCTTCATGAACGTCAGGCTGAGGACGTTAAACAAGCGCTTCTTGGGAGGCAACCCAAGAAGCGCATTTTTAATGTCTTTCAAGTTGATCATAATCACGATGCATTTGATGACCTTGAAAGTGGAGCTCGAGAAAGGAAAAATTCATCTTCCTGTGATTGTGGACCACCTGAAGGACGATCGCATATCCTATCTGCTCATATTCTGAAATCAAAGCAGGGACAGAAAACCTTGCCAGATCATCTCAAGTATAGATATTTGGGTAAGAATTTCAATCTTCCTGTTATTATTCCTTCTTCACTGACATTGGAACAGGAAGTATACTTGGTTGAGGCACTGCAATACCACCTGCGCCTCACTAAGGGGTCCAACATGCAAGCTAAGAAGGTCATAAAAAATTTTCGCACACCTAGCCCTGCAGAGGTGACTCATATGTTGGATGGAGGTTATGCGTTCTATCATTGCTCGGGAGGGTATCTGGATACCTTTCCATACCCATTGGTTGAAAGCTTCATGAACGTCAGGCCGAGGACGTTAAACAAGCACTTCTTGGGAGGCAACCCAAGGTAAGTTTTCTTTTCTTTATTTTTCTTTTTCGTTGTGTCAAACCCGTGCATGTTTAGATTAGGATTTGAACATTAGGGACCTTGTTCCATCCTGAGTGTGGGCTGGTGAGTCTTAGTGTTTGTTTGTCCCTATTGCATGTGGTAAAAAAACCAAAAAATAATCTGTCATTTGGCTATGCACAGTCAAACTGCATACAATCTACCTGTGCAGGTTCAGTCTGCCTGTGCTAACCTAATGGCTAAAAAAATACCTAAAAATCAGAATATTTTAAAATAAAACCTTGTACTCTTGGGGTAACATGATGTAAATGACCGTGATGCCTTGAAAATGAGTTTGTGCTAGAATGAAATCATCAAAATCACCCCATTAGTCTTGAATTGCATAGTTCTTCACAATGAGCTTGATGTTTTGACTGACTTGATATGCTTTGAATTAGCAAACTCTTTTAGCAACACTCTATTTTGTGAGGATAATGTAATGACTTTTGGTGAAGTAGTTAGGTGGAGAACATTGACCATTCGACATGTTTGGATGTCGTGCTTACTTGCATCTCTTGTGGGCTTTTGACTTTGCAATGAGTCTCTCCTTTTTGAATGTTTTAGATGGGGTGAACTGTATCTTTATAAGAAGAAAAATCCTACCTGACAAGTAAAATATAAGAAAGTTGCCATAACAATTAAAGTGTGAGTAAAATGCCAAAATCGTGTGAGGCAATCACTCATTGCACAGGGGGATTAGGAAAGGTTCAACTGAGCATCGGTTCGCGACCGTACGATGCTGCTTATCAAGTACGATTCCCCGTTGAGTGAAGTGCCATTTGAGGATGTGCAGTGACCCTCCACATGGACCGAGGAAAAGGAGTTGAAAGAAGCCTTTATGCGAGTGCCAAGAAGCATAAATTGCTCTTGCTCGGCACCGGTAGTAAGAAACAAATCCCACTTGTACTAATTACGACAAATCGGCAAGCAAAATCAGAAAGAGAGAAAGAATCTCCTTGTCAGAAAGGTAGTTATGTGCTTAAAGTAAAAAACCAAGTTTGCTAAAAGCTTCCTCCATTTGTTTTCGAGACTTGTGCTTAGTTAATTGCTTATGATTGGTGTGAGTAAGCCAGATTGTCCTCACGAGATATGCACCTCACTGATGTGGTCAGATTCTCCTAATAATTGTTGCACTATAAGTTGTTAATCACCCACTACCGACGACCTGAATTGAGTGCTCGCTAATTGAATTTTTGGTGGATTTGAGTCAGTCAATGGTAAAGGGTTGAAAGACCTTGAGTGTGGGGTGAAAGGTATGATCATTAAAGCACAACTCATCAATTGAGAAAGAAACTACTGATTATCACGAGAGTACAAGGGTAAATTTCTTGTGTTGATGTTGTGTTCTGTGTGTCGTGCGTCATGTGTCTTGAGTAAGTTTGTGTCTCTGTGGTATGTTTTGTGTTTCTCCAATTATCGTTCTCTTGTCTAAGTCGTTGCTTAGAGACAAGCAAGTATTGAGTGTAGGGTTGTGATAATTGTCGAAAACATATTGATTACATGTGCTTAATGTGATTATTTCATAATATGTTTGAGACATATAATGCTTGTTTTAAGGCCAACTGACTCTGGAATGGTTATAAGACCATTACCATCATGTGTTATAATTTTGATGTGCTTTAGGTGAAGAAATAAAGATAAATGGCAGCACAGGTAGTTGTCAGAAGCAGCAGATGGCGAGTACGACTCGGACTTGAAGCCCAACAAATTAAAACATAGTTTTACCGGCCCACTCGGCTTTCCGTAAGCAGCTCGGCATGAAACTTCTTGTTGGAGGAGATTTGGACGCTTGGGAATTACTTGGCCCATCTCCGTTGTCCTTTTGTGGAGAGGACGTGGACCAGGAATTGCTTTGGGGGAACGAAAGTCTTTTGGGAATTTTTCTGGCCCATCTTTTTTGTCCTCTAGTCTGGGACATGGAAATAGAGGGGATAATTATTTGGACACAGAAGCGGGAGAATCATGAGAGTAGGCCGCATATAAATTAATAGGGGACGACACGGAGACTGGGGGATCGGGAAGGAATTGGCGATTGGGGAGAGAGTGAGCAGCAGGCGACACGGGAACAGGAAGCAGCAGCGCTTGGCGGCGATCGTGTGCATGGACAAGAACATGATTGTGTGTTTTATTTTCGAGTATTTTCGTTCTCTTTTGTTTAATTATCATCATGATGAACAAGAACATGATTGTGTGTTTTATTTTCGTCATGAACTAAACCCCAATTTCTGGGGGAAACACCATAGGATGTAGCTATTTCTATACTTGATGGATGATTCATATTTCTTTTCTTCCAATCTCTATTGCATGAAATTGCTTAATGCTTTGTGTTGACTGGCCACCAATACAATGATTTGTAGTTAATTAGGTTATTAGCAACAGTGAAACCCTAATAACTGAACATATTTCATGTGACATAGTAACTTATCGAAGCGACAGCGGATTAAATAAGGTGTTATGCGGTCTTAATTGGGATATCGGTCTTTAGGCTAAACAGTTAATTCATTGAGTTACGATAGTAGGATTTGAATTAATTGTTTAGTACGTAGTAATTCCCGACAGGGATAGCTAGCACGGTAGAGATATGGATTAAATTGATTGGAATATATGAATTAATTTGGATATGATAGGTAGCGAGTCCCGGTGTTTCTCCCAGAGCTTTCTCCATTGAATTTATCCCGACCATTTTAACTTGCTTGTTTTATTTAATTATTTTTCTATTAGATAATAATTTCATCAACCAAACCATTTTCACCTATAGTTTGCTCCACAGAATTGATAAATCATAAGGTTGTACCAGTCCCTGAGAGACGATACCCAGACTTTCCGGTTTTACTACGAGATAGGATTGAGGCATTACGCTTTTGCCCTATTAGGACGCTCATTCGTGATCGTTTGGGCTTTGACATGCCGACCCCCACACCAATTCAAGGACGGGGGCATCCACCATTGAATGCGGGACAAGTGTCAGTCTCGTGGCTCGTTACTCACATCCAAAATGAGGTGGCCATCGACAACGAGACACCGGAAGATCAAGTGGAGCGCTATGCACGCATCTACCTCATTGGTTTGGTCGGTGGATTTCTGTTCCCCGACAAGGCAAACCGGTGGATTCAAGGCATATGGTTGGACTTGCTCCTTGGTGATTGGGACGCAATAGGGGAAAAGAGTTGGGGATCAGTCGTGTTAGCTGGCGTATACGGGAGCTGTGTACTTGCTCGAAGTTGGGAGCGAAACAAGCTGGTGCTGCGATGTTCATCCTCCAGCACTGGGTATAGGAGCATCTTCCAATGTTCGCACCTGAAGACCCACGTCCATATCGGAGAGCAGATGATGAGCTACACTTTGTGCAAAATCTCCCCTACGGTGTCAAGTAAGTTGATTCCGTACTTAGCCTAATTTAATTTTATTCCATGCTTAGCTATATTTAAATTAATTTTATTCCATACTTAGCTATATTTAAATTAAGTTTATTTCGTACTTATCCTAATTTAATTTTATTCCATGCTTAACTATATTTAAATTAAGTTTATTCCATACTTAGCCTAATTTAATTTTATTCCGTACTTAACTATATTTCAATTAAATTTAGTTCGTACTTAGCCTAATTTATATTTATTCCATGCTTAGCTATATTTCAATTAAATTTATTCTTTTCTTTTACTTACAAGGTGGATACGAGCAAATACAAACGACCATCAACCTGAGCACTTTTTACTGTTTTATCGTTTTGAGTTAGATAAGCCTTGGTGGAACCAGGTAATCATGTTTTATCATATTTTAACAATTTAAGGTTTTTCAATGTAAATGGACACTAAGTGCAAATTTTTAATAAGTATAGGTTACATGGGATCCATATCCACGTGAAGTAGTCGAGCTGCATCATCTCAGACACCCCCAGGATCACGAGTTGTGGTTGTGCAAGGTACCATTGATCTGCTGGCACATCGTGGAGTGGCATACGAATCCTCCCAATCACCATACACCTCAGCCATGGCTTTCTACTTTCCATGCCATGCTTTTTTGTACCTTATCGTGTAAGAAAGTCGATCCTTCACCTCGGCCATGATAGCTTTGACCTTGATATCTGGTTGTGCTTCGATAAGGTGCTTAATAGTTCTCCCAATTTTCTTTGCTTTAAGTTGCCTGTGATCCTGGGAACGTATGGACGAGGAGCAAGTGTGGTTGGTCTCAGCTTTTCGAATCACCCAAGCACCCTTTCTCTTCATATTTGCAGCCCGCAGTTCCCACGTACAGCCCTCTGCATCATTCTTGCATATGACATGTAATTGTTTACTGTCAGAATATTTTACCTTCCCCTCGAAATTACGCCTCAAGGCCTCTTCGGTAAAGGCATCTTGCACAGCGTCCTTCGATGAGAATGCCATACCCACCTCCAAATTGGCCGTCGGATTATACACTAGCATAGGGACAAATTCGGGGGCATCATTCTAACTATGTAAAAATTGAGTTGGAACCTGTGTGTAGTATGGCGTCGGTGCCTCACGAAATACCGCATCGTCGTCGTTATCATCAGTATCTTCCTCCTCTCTCACTAATCTCAAATCTTCCTCAGTATCATCGTCGCTCGAGTCTAATGGATAGCTCGGCCCAGAAGGATCAACATGACCACCATCACCAACATTGTCTTCTCGCTCACGTGAAGTACGCCCTGCTCGAATGGTATTCTCGATTTCAGCCCACTCAGGCCCCCAAGCAGGCCATTGAACGCCATCGGCAGGTTGATCCTGTTGCGAGTATTCTTCCGATGGCACCCATCCTGCACTACTACCTCCACCGTATTTGATTGAACTACCACCCTCTCCGTAACCTCATGTATAACCACCTCCTTCGTAGTTGCTCGAACTACCACCCCATCCGTACCCTCCTGCAAAACCATCATCATAAGAATACTCGTGAGAATGATTTTCACCGACCACCTCGGTCTCAACATACACCTCTGCTTGCCGCATCCCGTTATTGCTTAGGAACTGTAACATCATCGTAACTGCATCATCATCATTTATGACAACTTCTTGGTACACAAGCCCGCTAGTACTCATACATGGATACCGGTAACTAATTTTACCAAGTCTCGTCTGTCCGCTCGTACAAACCCTGTCTGCACAAATATCACAGAGTTCTTGAAAATTTAAACGCGGCTCAATTTTCAGCATAGTGGATATACCGTCCTCATAATCAATCCCTATGCAGAGTTTGTAACCCTTCCATTCCACCGAATAATAAGCTGAAACTTCTTGAATTTACCCATATCTACAATTTACAATAAGTAACTATTAGCATAATTCCAGTAATTCATAACATCGGCCATATTTACTACGATAAGTAATTCATAACATAACAATATAACTACTAAAAACAACTGTCAGAACAGAAGCGTGCAATCGATAATCCAAACCAACACGAAAGAACACAAATTTAACGTGGTTCACTAACACAATGTGTGCTAGCTAATCCACGGGCAGAGGAGAACAAATTTCACTAATTTGAGGAGAGTACAGGTTACAAACCAAATTCCAAACGGACAAACCAAACAAACTAACCTGACTGACCTTTCTACAGACTATGGTGATGAAGAGTATTTATAGAACTCTTCTCCTAATCCCAAACAGAAAACCAAACACCTTTTCCAAACATACAAGGAAAAGGCCAAAACAAAGCCCAAACAAAATAGGCTCAAAACACAAAACTAACCCAAATCAAATTCAAGTCATATTCTAACAATCTCCACCTTGACTTGAATTCTCTCTCAAATACCAGATGTACCAGACGCAACCAAAGTTGCCAGATGTACCAGATGCAACCAAAGTTGCTAGATGACCCAGATGTGATCGAAATCACCAAACTCAAACGCGATGAAAATCGCCAAACTCAAATTCAACCAAAATTTCCAAACACCAAACTCTTCTAATCTCCAAATGTACCAGAATCTCCCCTTCCTCCAAATGCCCCTAAGGGCGATCAACAAATCAAAACATGCAGCAAGTCCAACCCTTGTTGGAACTTGCCATGCTGAACCTGCAGTTTGGTGTTATTTCCATCCATAACGCCAATATAAAATGTATCTCTAACTCCAAACTTACAACTCGAATTAACTTTTCAATCTTCAAATCCATAGCAAACATCCTTGATGATCGGAGTTTCTAACCACCACACCGATACAATAACCAAAATTCTGTCAAACCCTAACCAACCACCTCAACGGAGCTTGGTGTCAATCGTTCACAAAAGTTCCCAACTCAAACTTCAACTCCAAGGAAACACCAAATTTCAAAGTCCATAACGAGACAAACGTTAGAGGCAACTTCCGCAAATGCTAATGAATTGTGATTACTCCAAATTGTGATAATAATCAGAACTCCAAATAAAACAAAACTTCACCAATGCCACTTCGTCTGCTTCTGCTCCAGAATTGGCGGCAAACAATTGTGATTAATAATCACAATAATCCTACCCCAAAGCAGGAAATCCAACCTTTTCAAATCAACAACGACGAATTCCAAAGAACCAACCCGATGCTCTGACGCCAAAGGAACGATGCAAACAGCAACTTCCAATCAATCAATCTAGCAACCAGCAGCGTGATCCCAAAATCCACATAGACAGTTTCAAATAACCCAAAGATCAACCAGGCTCTGATACCACTTGTCAGAACAGAAGCGTGCAATCGATAATCCAAACCAACATGAACGAACACAATTTTAACGTGGTTCACTAACACAATGTGTGCTAGCTAATCCACGGGCAGAGGAGAACAAATTTCACTAATTTGAGGAGAGTACAGGTTACAAACCAAATTCCAAACGGACAAACCAAACAAACTAACCTGACTGACCTTTCTACAGACTATGGTGATGAAGAGTATTTATAGAACTCTTCTCCTAATCCCAAACAGAAAACCAAACACCTTTTCCAAACATACAAGGAAAAGGCCAAAACAAAGTACCAAACAAAATAGGCCCAAAACACAAAACTAACCCAAATCAAATTCAAGTCATATTCTAACAATAACCATTAGGAATTAATACGAAAATTAAATCATACCGAAAATTCATGTTCTGTGTATGTTGCTCGGTTTTGGTTGCTGAAATTTGAAGAGGGGGGAGGGATTACATTTTTACAACTGCTGGTGATCGTTGTATATAAGGAAAATCGGCCAGACTCACCGTTTTTGTCAAAAACAGTGAACAACATCACCGCGTCTGTATCAAACGGTGAAGTTACGGTGGTTGTGACCTAATTTTCACCTATCGTTCGTGATGCATGGGAGCGGTACTCAGGATTTTTCTGGCAATGTCCCCATCACGGCTTCAGTGATGCATTCACCGTGGGGAACTTCTACAGTGCTCTCTCTCCGGAAAGCCAAAGGGTGATTGAGTCTCTATGCCTAGGAGGGGATATTCTCACTAAGACTCCACCCGAACTGAACCAGATGATCAGTACCTTGGCTGCCAGAGATCATTCCTGGGGGCAGAGCACTAGAGGCCGGAATTCCCGGGATCGTGGTGTGCACGCCATGGAGGCCAGTTTCGGGCTAGAGCGGGAGGTGGCCGAGTTGGTGCAGACATTGAAGCAGCCCAACAGTCTTATTCCGGGTAGAGGTTTGGCCGTACCTCCAGTAGCTCAATGTCAGTGGTGTAAGAGCTCGAACAATTTGGTTTAAGATTGCCAGGCTATGCGGGACTCTTCTACACCCTGAGAGCAATTGGACTTCATCGCCAATGCTCGGCGCCTTGACCCATACAGTAATACATACAATGAGGGGTGGCGCCAGCATCCCAACTTCTCTTGGAATAGCAACACCACTAAACCACCTGGTTTCCCAGCACCAGTAGGTGGTTTTCAGCAGAGGCAGCCTTTCCAGGCTAGACAAGGGCCAGTTCCACAGCAGCAGCCTTACCAGCCTAGGCAGGGGCAACCATTCCAGCATCCCCAGCGTCAGTATGCCTAGCCTCCAGCAGCTGCAGCTCCAGATAATCAAATGACGGAGCTGAAAAATATTTTGCAGGCATTCATGACCACCAGCCAGGCGAATTTCACGAGGATGGACCAGAACATAACCTCACTGGAGGCAGTCCAAAGGAACCAAGGTGACATTTTGCAAGATCTACATAATCAGATTGGTGGCATAGCTCGCCAAAATACTACCAGAGCACCGGGGACTCTGCCTGCCACCACCATTCCGAACCCTCGTGAGCCTCACCAGCACCAGCAGTTGGATGCCATCACTACCAGGAGTGGCAAGACCACATCTGCTGCTCCTGCCCAGACCATGCAGGACGAGCCACTGCCTACTTCAACACTTCCAGCCGACAATGCAGAAGTGGGGATGGACAAAGAAGCACCTGCTCCCAAGCCACAGCCAGTGTTTAAGGAGCATGTACCCCAGCTTCCCTTCCCCACCCGCCTACACAAAGACAAGTTGGGGACTGAGTTTGCCAAGTTCATGGCGATGTTGAAGCAGGTCAACATCAGCATGCTGTTCGTGGAGGCATTGTCGAAGATGCCCAAGTACGCCAAGTTCATGAAAGACCTCCTCACCAACAAGAAGAAACTTGGGGATCTTTCGACAGTGATGTTGAGTGAGGAGTGTTCTGCTATCCTGCAGAACAAGGTGCTCGAGAAGCGTAAAGACCCTGGGAGTTTTACTATCCCTCTTGTTATTGGCAGCATGCATGTAGGAAAGTCCTTGGCGGACCTATGCGCTAGCATAAATGTCATGCCCTACAAATTGTTTAAAAAGCTAGACCTAGGTGAACCTATAGCTACTAGGATGAGCATTTAGTTAGCTGACCGTTCCATTGTGCATCCTAGGGGTATCATAGAGGATATGCTTGTTAATGTAGGTGCATTCACATATCCTGTTGACTTTGTTATTCTGGATATAAATGAGGATGTGGATGTACCTTTAATTTTGGGTAGACCGTTTCTCGCCACCGCCAAGGCGCTTATTGATATGCATAGTGGTAAATTGATCCTGCATGCTAGTGATGCACATGCACTTTTTCTTTGTATGAGAATGGGAAACACTCCCATTTGCATGATGACTTAGATTACTGTGATG